ACAAGCTGAAGACCAGCCGCTCAAGCCTCTGCAAAGCAGCTTCGGCAATAAGGCCAGAGAGAGGCGTGTTCATTGGTGTCTCCATTTTTTTCGATGACGTTGCCATTGAACATGCATAGTTTTAGGCACACGTCCAGGAGCTCGATGACGTGCACCCGCTTGACCTTTTTGCCGTTTAGTCTTTTTTTTTCTTGGAGAAGTCTATGGTCTATGACCACGTTCAGCAAAATAATCACACGTTTGCCTTTGAGAAAGCAAGGGTAATAAGCCGAGCCAATGACAAGATGGCCAGATTTCTGCTAGAAAGTTGGTCCTCAACTGGCACACTTAACAGAACCATAGACCTTCATCCCGCCTATCAAGTGCTCTGCAAAATGCTACCATCTGCTTAGAACGGAGAAATAGGTCAGGCAAAGGAAGATACGCAGAGCCGACAGCCAGCAGCCGCGAGCGAAAAAAGTGGAAATGCCCAGTTAGCAAACAGGCGACGTGACACATCACATTGAGGCGCCCGCTAGGGCGCCAACATCTCAAACGGTCATCATCAATCGATCGACGCGCGTGCATCTGACACAGTTTCAACACGCGTCAGGCAGTCAGACACACTCACTCGACATCAACAGGAGAAAAGACGCTACGCTCTGACGAGGGAGGTGGGAATGCTTTTTAAACGTCAGCTTAAATATAACTTCGTCTCAGGAATTGCCTCTTCTTCCTCTTCAGGGGATAATGACAGCAATAATATATCGTATAAATATCAAATCAGTCATCAAAAAAGTAATTTTTTAAACAGGAAATTTAGGCAACTCTGGCTACATATTCGATAACTTCCTACCAGACATCCTTCAATATCACCGGAATTGCGAATCCCAGTAAGCAATTGGGAAGAAATAAATGTGATCACCGAAGCAATAATTTTATGCACGTGATATTTTGGATTCGTCGTTGATCTTTAATCAAGGGTAATAAGCCGAGCCAATGACAAGATAGCCAGATTGCTGCCAGAACGGTGGTCCTCAGCTGGTACACTTAACAGAACCCTAGACCTTCATCCTGCCAATACGACGCTCCGCACAAGGCTAACATCTGCTCAGAGCGGAGCAGTAGGGCGTGCGAAGGCAGATAGGCAAAGCCGACAGCCAGCAGCCGCGAGCGAATAAGGTGGAAATGCTCAGGAGGCAAAAAAAATAACGTGACACAACACATGGATGCCACTAGCCATCAGCAAACGATAGGCACAATCGATGGACGCGCGTGCATCAGGCACAGTTTAAACACACGTCAAGCGGTCAGGCACACTCACTCGACACCAACAGGAGAATAGACACTACGCTCTGATGACGGAAGCGGGCACACTTTTGAGACGTCAGCTTATATAAAACTTGGTCTCCGGAATTACCCGATCTTCTTCCTTTTTCGGGGATGATGACGGCAATAATATATCATATAAATATCCAGTCAGTCATCACACAGTAATTTTTTAAACAGAAAGTTTGGGGAACCCAGGCTACATATTCGATAAAGTAGACCAGACATCCTTTAATATCACCGGAAATGCGAATCCCAGAAGGCGATTGGAAAGAAGTTAATGTGATCGCCGACACAAGCATTTTATTCACCTGATGTATTGTATTCGTTTTGATCCGTAATCACAAACAATAGCAGAACTGAGTGATTCAAACACAGGGAGTTGTAGTACTTATAAGTTACAGTCGCTATCCTTCTGTGTCACAGTGCGGCTGAAGATAGTGAACCAATGAAATGTCAGATTGCTTACGTAAAGTACCAGCTATGCAGGAGGATTTTACATACGCTTCATACATTTATTGTTGCACACTTATATTTTCACAGGAAGAAACAAACACCGAAGAGGACTGTGTGCTGGAGCCTGATAAGGTAATAAAACAGCCTGTTCAAGTTGTCTGTACTGGCTCTAGGTTAATACTTCAGTTCAGCCAAATCCACTTATAAGGGTTAATTTGCCCTAACCAATTTCGGTTCTATTTTTAGCGTCCGTGTTGTCCGCTTACTCTCCAACACAAACCTGGATCCAGTGGTAGTGATTGTACAAGCAGCCGTGAGGAATGGCAACCCCCACCGCCTCCAACATCATCAACTTTATCAAACGAAGCCAAGATCCCATTGCTCCCACAGTCAGCTGCGTCTACTGTGCCAACAGACCAACTAAATTCGACAAATAATTTGTCTTCCTGCATCGATATGCTTACCATAGGAGTAGTCACAACGCCTAATACTTCAGGTTTTCTTCGGTTGAAATATATGACCCTTTATAGTGATTGACTATCCCAAGGATGAGCCAGAAGACCGTTCTTGCACAAAACGCACTGTCGAATCGGAAGGCGAATGTCGTCATCAGAGTAAGTGATATCTTTAGTGCCTGCTTTTCTTTGTATAACTATTTTAATTATCCAGCTAAAAGGTATGCTATAGTACATTGCTACCCGTGTGCTGCAGGTATGCTTACGGGGCTTGGACAGAACGCTGCGGAAAAGGACATGATCGTGGTGGCCACAGATGTAAGCTGCCAACCATCGGATAAGGTCAGTCGGGACGTTCAAGGAAACCAAGTCCTGCAGGAGCTGATCGTGGCGGCCGCAGTCAAAGACTCATGACAGATCAACTGAGACTGCCATGGTCATGGAAACAGGCTTCTGTTGATTGAAGCCCTCGAGGATAGCGTCGCTGAGTTCAAAAAGCGCCGTTGTGGTACCACGACCCGATCTGAATCCATGTTGGTGGCTAGACAGTTCCGCTGCAGACATCAGAACTGGGTGGAGGAGTCGTTCGTGAGTCTTCGCCAGTGGATTAGGAAGGGCGACTGGGTGATAGGAGGTCGCTAGACTGCGGTCCTTGCGAGCTTTGACCAGTGGGATAATGATGGACTGGCGCCAGCAATCGGGGATGATTGAACTGGCCAGTGAAAGGTTCAAAAGACATCCAGGTAGGCAGCCACCTTACGGCCGATAGAGCGCAAATAGATAGGTGCCAGGCCATCTGGTCCTAAGGCTTTCGAGGCTTTCTTTCTCTTGACGGCAGTAAGGATAGCATCGGCCAAGAGTGACATGTCCGGAGGTGGGCTTTATGGAAAATGTGAAGCAGTCCCCCACATTAACCGCTGTAAGAGAAAGTGCCTACTCCTAGGTCACATCATTCAGCATCTTCCTTGTAAAAGAGACTTAACATTATTATCCAGCGTCAGCTACAGCACTTTAGCCAGACGTTTGTGTTCACCGGTCGTATTACCTCTTATGCGGTGATGCCTTCACCGGCCGCTGGACGGTCTGAATCAAACTTGCACGGCTGCTAAAACTTTTTTAAGCTCTGAGTTATACTTCGCACACTATTTTAGGTTAAAGCGCGTAGACCTGTTAAATGCAAGAACACATCCTCATTAGTAAGAATGATAGGTAAGCCCAGAGGCGGAAATCATCTGCTTTTGTTAATTGATCCTCTTTATTTTCTGGTTTTAGAGCCGCAATGTTATGAATGTGAGATTTGTAGCAAAGTATTTTCACGGGTCGACAACATGAATACGCACGTAAAGTCAATCCACAATGGTGCGTTGCTTCTTTCTTTGGGCTTGTCCTTCTTATTAAGTTATTAGTTTGTTTTGGATACCTATACGACGGCTACTTTGCGTTTCTTTTGTCTCAGTGTTTATTCACCCTGACCAATTTCGCTCGTAGGGCATGGATCTGCGCCTGACATCCGGCACCATTCCTCCTACATTTAGATTCAATAAGATTATGTTTCATAGGCTTTTCCCTTTCCAATTTATTCCCTCGTTTGTAATCAGCCTCAAAAAAGCAACATCCCTTGTGATTGGCCGTATATTCGGTCACTGAATATCAAAGAGATGCTCAACAATTGTTCGACCAAAGCAAGCCGCGGGGGGTCATTACTGTCCCAATGGCGTAGCGGTAGCCTGGAGTGCTTGTTCTATGTGGCTGTTGAGGAAGATTATGCGAACACGGGTAAACATTCTTCCGGCAATATTGGGCGGCGAGACCCCTCGGTGATGGTCTTAAAGTTGACCGTTTATTTTCTATTTTACGAGTGGATGACTTTGGCGTCCAGGAAACCCTGGGCGACTTGGCCGGGGTGCCATATCTCCTGAAAGCGTTGGAAGGGGTATTTCATAAGTTTGCGGCCGCCATATTTGTAAATTCCAGTAGGGGTCGTATCTGATCGGCGTGCTTTTTCGCTGGAGAGTTGCTGTATGACTCTTTTTGTTTCCGGAAACGTGGGTGGGTGACCGAAGTCAGCTTTAGTCTCCATCTGGAGCACTTGGTCGACGACAGCATCGAAAATGATGGACGGACGGTTGAATACGCTTTGGAAGTGCTCGGCCCAGCGCTTCCGAATTGGCGATTTCCCAGTGATTGGAGTAGTTTCGTCAGCGTTGAGAAGAGGAGCAGTTCCTTTGATGACCGTAGACAGCCCAGCCTCCTCCATCTTTCACTTATCCAGTGTCATGCGACCCGCCTTCTTAAGCAGAAATCGCCGATCCCATAAAAAGGCTGCT